GATAATTGTCCTTCCACCAGACTGGCACTGGGAATTACAGACATGGTGGACCAGGCATCTGAACCTCTCAGAGAAATGTGAAAACAAAAAGCATGAGACTAACTACAAAGAAAGTGCCAAAGAAAAAACAAAAAAAAACAAACAAACAGTCTCTGATTAACTTTGTATGAAATAATACTGGTTAACCATGCGACATAAAACAGCCCCAAAAGCCTGAGCAGCTCAATGTAACAGGGCAATAAGGGAAATTTACTGAGCCATCAGACCGGATACGCAAGTGCAAACTGCCAAGAGCAAATTCTGCATATGGGGATTGTGCAGAATTCCTGCACCTTAATTAAATCTTTATTAGCAGCTGGAAATGTATAGGCTCACGAGAGCCTGAAACTGACTGACAAAAGTCTTGGCTATGGCGGAGTTATGTATCCAACCTCCATAAAGTGTCTATAGTTGAGAAGAAGAAAAAATAAAAAGGGGGGAGATGGTCTGCTACCGAAGCACCTGTGATCATTCACCACCAGCTAATAACTGCATATGAATGATATGAATGTCACACAAGCCTTGAGATCTCTTCTATACATCTATAAATAAATAAATGGGACTATTGGGAAGGTTATACTTGGAGGATCTTGGCTCTCCCTTGTGTGGGAAAAATAGTTTCTGCTACAACCTGCTGTTTCATTGTGGTGCAGCTATAAACTCCAGCAGTCGTGCACCCGCAACAGCTGAAAGGACTAAGCATTAGGGTGCTGGGTGCACCAAAAACATAACTACTGTACTCTGGAAAAAGCTAAAAGATACTAAAATACTTTAAACTGGTCTCCAACCAGCACCTGTAGGGGACTATGGTTGTACCGATGAGCATTAGGTCTATAAATACATTAAAAGTGCTAGTAGCACTAGTGGTATTATCAATCTGTAGATACACTAGAAAATAAAAACAATTACTCATACTAAAATACAAAAACTTCCAACATAAAAAAGTACATGTACAGGAATTACAGTAAGTAAATATTCCATGACAATCAACTGCAAGGTATAATGAACAGAAAAACTTTCAGGAAAACCAAAAGCCTTATCGGGTCACTCATAAAAGATGTCAAAAAAGGAATGATAATAAGGTGACACTTTAGTAGAGCGTTGGAACTTGTGTGTACCAAATGGAACCTAAACCTGTGATGAGGTACCTGGGTAATCTTCCATTTTGAGTTTCATGCACAGATCTAAGAATCAGGCCAAATTCCTCTTCCTGTAAAAGAGGCAAGGGAGACATCTCATCCTCACTTCCAGAATGGGCAGATTCTGCACCCATAAGGTCTTACACATGGCCCGGGCCTTGCACCAGGGTCAACCTCTTCAAAAACGTAAGGAAAAAAAAAAAGGAGGGCTGTGGGACGGCATTCTTTTATTTACTTACACCTATGCTCCTGTTACATACGGGGAACAAATCCCTCCAGGAGAGTGGTAGGAGCGTCCAAGGGCACAGACTGCCCATAGGTCCCTGAAGCTGTCAACACAGAGCCCCACAGAGATGGGGGACACCTGCGCATCCATTGTGGGTATACAAGAAATACATATAGGGCCAGAGTGGGAAGACACAGCCATAAGTAAATCAGACCCAAAGGGTGCCATAACAGTGGAAGGCCAAGCTCAGTATACAGATTGATAAGTTCAGCTCTTTCAGTAGCAAATGGGAGGCGTAACAAACCCCCCCCATTAGCCTCACTGCACCCCTGAGCAAAGCCACATGGATACAGAACCACAGTAAGGTGATGCATCTTCTCCAGGCATGGGGGGAAAAAAAAGTGGCCACAGTTTAGGTTGCCTCAGAATGAGTGAAGAGTGATTTCACAAACCGGCACCAGTCAGTCTAGCACTTACCCTAAACTCAGAGAAAGCCAGCGGCCCTTGTCCCACATTGCATGGCCACCAAGACTGTTGTTGCAGTTGCACAGAGAATGGAGGCCACAGTGGAACAGGAAAAAAGGCAAAGAGAATGATACTGTGACAAAGCAACCAGGTCATTGGGTCATATGTGCCTCCGTGAAGTATATCACAGGCTGCCCCAGCGAAACTCGTACACAGGACATGAAACCTCATGGGCTTGCTGGTTGAACTGAGGAGACCAAATGGATCCATAACTCCATTCTGTCATCCAGTTAGCAGTTGATTGAAGATTCTGAAGAAAGGGGAAAAAAAAAAAAAAGGGAGAAATATTCCTTGCGAAAAGGAGCCAAGATTCCCAAGTAGGGAGCTTAGGTTGTTACTCCTTGACACTAGGCAAAAGAGTTTAGCTGCCTCTTTCAGAAGGGGGGGTGGGGGGTGGGGTTTGGCCAGGGCCACCCCTAGGCTGTGCCTAGTGTTTTCCTGCAAGTGGTGTTACAACCAAACATTCAGAATCTAAGGCTCTCCGTTGTGTCCTTCTATAGACAGATAGAAGAACCTATTACAGAAATCTAGTATAAAACTGTTATTTTAGTTTAAGCCTGCAATAAAATCTATTTTCTCAGGGAAAGGGAAAAAAAAAAAAAAAAGAAGAAGACAAAGCTCAAAAATCACACATTGTGGTGTGGTAACTTTTCATGTGCTATCGGATTGCAGTGCCAATTATTTTGACTGGCACCCCAAAGCACTAAAAGGAACGCAGCTCTAATGCATGTGTTGCAGCAAACCACAAACATGCTTTATGTACATTTTTTGCCCCTTCTAGTGTTGGTAACCCATACAAAATGAATAGGCTGCCTTTACATGACCCCATTTAATGCACAAAAACATAGTGTGACACAAACTTTTTTAGTAATGGAAATATAAATTATATTGGTGGGAATTTATCAAAATTGGAGCAGATTTGCCCTGCAGCCAGTCAGCTTCTCGCTCTCATTTTCAAATATTACCTGAGCAAACTGAAGAGAGATGCTGATTGGTTGCCATGGGCAACTGCTCCAGATTCTGTCTGCTCCAGTTTTTTTAAATTCCCCGCTTTGTGCTATCTTTCTGGATCAGCAGATGGGACTTTTGCCTCCTTTTCACATTTTACCAACTCTTTGATGAAAAATCAGCAGACCTAAATAGCGCAACCTGAAGTCTGTATACACAAGTGGATGGCTTATCACAATGACCCATTTCTTACTGGATGGCTCAATCTCAAGTTTCAGACAAACACCACCTCAAAGAAAAAAAAGTGTTTTCGGTGGTGAATCATGAGCTAACCCATAGCGCTTTTGGAAATATTCAGGCGTTAAATATTTATTTTTATAACAGGCAGTATAAAAACGTAAAATTGAACCTCAACCATTATATTTATATTTGACGGATGCTACAAACGGTTATGAAATTAAAGAACTCCAATAAAATTGTTGTTTGTTAGTTCCGTGTGTATATTTTTATTGAATTAAGGATTTTTAGTTCCATGTGTATAATTATTGGAGAATTATGTTGGTTTTTTTTCCTTTTAAATGGTGCTATTGATAAATCTCCAACAACCCTTCTTTATATTGAATTCTTATCACATGCACCCTATCTGAAATTGCACCCTAGCTGAAATACTGACAGTTGGGACAGCTGAAATGCTGAAGAGCAGAGACAACCAGACAAAAAAAAAAAAATCATACCTCCAGTCTCCACATCTGTGGCAGTGTTGGTGCCATATTGCATGCAATGGTGTTGGTATAGCTTGTGAGTAGACAAACACTTACCTTAGGTATGTACAGCTCACATGAGTTCAGATTATGAACAAGAGGCAGAGTTGAGACCCTTAGTGAAATAGCAGTTACGGGAAGGCAATGACCATTTTAGCAGTCAGCAATTTCTTTGTTTTTGGTATTTTAGCAGTGTGTCTAAGGTTTTTGACCTCTGTTATAATGGTTTTCACATATTATAGCAACTATTTACTGTAGTGCAGTAGGTGCTGTAAGCTTTGTGTATATACTGTATGTTCAATATTCGTAAACAAATAGTAGCAGAGAATACCCTGCAATATACAAATAGCAGCATAATTGACATAACTGCACAAACAGGACAATGTTTATACAACTGCTCTTTACTCATCTTAAAATACATAAAAGAATCCCACGAACTGAAAAAAATTTGTTATTAATTTCCAATGTTTCTCCGACTTCAAAAGAACGCTGCCTAAGAGGATTAAGAGTACAGATTCTCCACAAGGTCTTTGAAGCCTGTATTAAAATGAGGTCTACTCTGCCTACCAAGAAAAAGCACATACCAACATGTAGTAAAGCTGCAGTGAATGCTCTGGGCATTTTGGATAAAGCATCTCAACACAAAATACACATAACAGGGAGGTCTGTTGAAGGGCAATTTCAACACATCACAGATGAAGCATTTTTAACCATTTTAATTGCTTAAGGTTGATCGTAAAATATAAAAGGTGACTTAAGGTAACACACAAAAAACATGTACTTTATGTTTTATGTATATTAAAATAGACAAAGGAACCATACATACAAAAAAAAACAAAACAAAGAAACTAATACAAAAATACTTAAGCTTAAATATTGTCAGTTAGGAAACAAAAATACATATAAAGCTTTTGCAAGATCAACAAGAAAATAAACAGACAGTTGGTACTGGAACACACAGAACAACAAGCAGTGCTCTGCAAGACCATAAGAGTTGTTTTTTTCTTTTTACACGCAAGAAAAAAGGCACCACTGAGGTGTACATCTCTGGAACAATTTGCCGACAACATTTTACATGCTAAACCTCAAAAATGGTCAGCACTGTGGAAGAATGCCGATATGAACTGTAGTTTCAAAAATAGAACTGAAATACTGAAATTTTCCTTCCATTGTCAACATTGCAGCCTTCTTAACTCTTGCAGAATAGGACACATTTAACATGCATCTTGACATACACACAAAAAAAATGAGGGAAATTAAAGTTACAAAATATACAAGGCAAAGGCTTTGTAGCCAAGAAGAATGCTACACCAAAGCCCAATGCAGGAAAAAAAAAAAAAAAAAGCTTGCTTGATGCACAGATAAGTAACAAAACAAATTATTACATTTCTATACAAGCACCTCAAATAAGTGCATGATCCCTTGCGTAGCAGAAAAAAATAAAAAGTTCAAAACGCACTCTGATCCATGTCCACAGCTATATTGTTTGCCATTCATCCAACAAAGACTGAATGCAGACTATGCAAGGTTGCAGTGTTGCCTCTGATCAAAATGAAGCACAACAAATGCTTGAACACAACAAATGTTTGGAGTGTTGTAGGATTGCTGCATTGTCTACTGCACATTCATATTTTATTGTGACATGGGCCACAGCAGAACAAAACTCAACATCTCACATTAGTGCCAAGTAATAGAGGGATTAAAAAAATATCTACTTTTTCTTCTAACCTGCTTGCACAAAATATCCCTGCCAGATTAGGTCCTAGTGGGTCTGCACAAGTCCAAATTCAAGTTGTAGATACCAGTGATTTGAGAGAGTGTGCCTCAGCACCCCTGACTTACAAATGCCCATACATCTTACACAATGCCCCTTCTTTGTAGTGTCTTCTGTTAAGTCTTTCAGTTTTTGCCAAGTTCTTGATGTTTGCCTCCTCCTCCTGAGGAACTAGTAATAGCACATCCAGCCAACATGAAGCAGAAGGAAGGAAATTGACATGACTTTGGACTGGGTTTGCTTGTTCTATGAGCTTGGCCATAGTGTACTATTGGGGAAACAAAAAGCTAACGAAGCTTGGTTTGAGTCTTTTTTAAAAAAAAAGCAAAAACACAACAATGGCAAATCACCCAGCACTCAACTAGTAGGCACCAGTGGCATGAGCAGGGTCTGGAGACTTAGCATTTGAAATGCTATCTCAGGTAACACTTGGCCTCCTAGAATAAATGGAGCACATGAAGAAGCAAAAAGGAGTGTTGCACTTATATTTCCTCCACACCATGAGCAAAGATCATAACCAGGCCAGGCTCCAGCACCATGTCCTCTCCCATATGTTGGTTCTCACAGGCCATCACCACAACAGCCTGCTTTCCTGGAATCCGCTTTGCCACATAGTTCTCGTAATATCTCCGGTTCATTTGTCTTGTCTCAAGTGTGGCCAGGCCCTGTGGCCAGTTGCGCTCATGGGCATTCTCTATGAGCTCATTAACTATAGATGCTGGGCAGCCACTTTCTACTAGTGAACGTTTGATGACAGCTTGTAACACAGCATCCGGTGTTGAGATCATTCCACCCCAGCGGGTCACACGTGCAGGTTGCAAAGAATTTACCCATCTGTATGATGAAATGAAAAGGTGAATGTAAATCGATACACTATCCAGACAATTATTTCAAATCCTTAAATGTCCTACACACGCAAGCCATGAATAAAAGTTATTTAGAGAACTAAATCCCTGTGAAACCTGTTTCGTGCATAAAACAACCTGGGGGCAATTTATAAACCTGGAGCAGTTGCCCATGGCAACCAATCAGCTTCTCCGTTTCAGTTTCAAAACTTAACTGAAGAAACAGAAGAGAGAGAAGACGATTGGTTGCCATAAGAAAACTCCAGTTTTGATAAATGTCCCCCTATGTTTAGCATGTAGCAGTTAGACAATTGAATAGCTGGTTCCCGTTTAGAAATCTATGGCCACTATAAAAAAGGAACTGTAGTCTGTATTTGAGGACAGGACCACAATACAAATATATTTGCATTCAAAATTCCCCCCAATTCAGCAAGCGTACTGTAAATGGAAAAAAGGACTTGGTTCTAATTCAGAGGATCAATGGTAAAAGATCCCACACTTATTTTACAAAGTACCCTTATCCCATTCTTCTTATAAGTTGACACGGCTGTTTATAATATGTAGGTCGCAGCGCACTACCAAATTTCTACACACCATTGGTCTGCGGACAGACGCTTGTAAAATGGCAGAGACCAGGGAGATCTGCATCTTCTTTGGAGGTGCCCCAAGTTGGTCAGAATGCTGAATGCAGTCTTCACCTTCTTGCTAGAGTATGAGCATATTATCTTGGGTTACGTTGATTCCACCTGTACTAATTGTTACGTCATGGAAGCGGTTACTAGAGGTGTGTGTGTGTGTGTGTGTGTGTGTGTGTTACATCTTTCCTGATGCTCTACTGTGCACTTAGACCGTATCCTATGCTGCAGCCCATCAGCATAATGTTGGGATGGTTATTTCCGGTTTCTTTTGCGGCTTTGTCTAATATAATGCACTGAGTTACGGACAGTGCATTATATTTTTTGAGTTGCTTCATGTTTTATACCCGCTGCATATAATGTATGCCTATGTATGTACATTGGGTGGAATAAACATTTGCAACATTTCCCTAAGCATTATTTATTGACGCTGGAACATTGCAAGGTAAACCAGGTCGGTGCCCCTACAGAAATTAAGTTGTTCCCTTCTGGCAATGCCTGGTGCCCGGTGGCAGTATTGCATAGTCTCATGTCTCGACTCGCCCGGTCGACATCAGATAGTCCCTTGTTACCTTGTCCGAATACACCACTCACAGCAAAGCAGTTTATTAGTCATGTTCACTTGCTTCTCGGACAATTAGGGGTCGATCCTAAGTTGTATTCAGGGCACTCGTTTCGTATTGGGGCTGCCTCAGCTGCCTCCAGGCATGGTGTCCCAGCCCACGTAATTAAAACATCTAGGTAGATGGCCTTCGTTCCATTTCAGAAGGTATATACCCAATCCTCACACGGAAATGGCTGCGGCTTTTTCGAAACTGGCAACTTAAATGTAGTAACGAATAAAAGGATTATATTACTCTAAACTGTTTGTGTTTGCCCCCTTATTGGCATTACTGTCCACACGGACAATGGCACACCCCAGGTCAGTATTTATTACATTTTAAGTGCATCAATGTGTATGCGGAGTGGTGTGTTGTATAGTCATTACAGGTGGGCGGACGCTTATCACAATTGAGAAAATAGTAACCATACTCTGTCCTCAATTATCTACAAACACTCAGCGATGACCGATTGCTTGTACCGCTCTCCTTCTTGATATGCTGTCACAGGAGGCTGAGCGAGCGGAGCAGGGAGGAGAGCTCAGCCTCCTGTGACAGCGCTGGCTGCTTCCGCCCCCACACTGCTCTGCCGGACTGTGATAGGAGGCTGAGCGGTGTGGGAGGAGAGCCTCCAGCCGCTCACAGCGCTCTCCTCCCGCAGCACTCGGCAGGCTGTCACACTTTCTCTCCTCCCCGCTGGGACACAGAGCAGCGCCCAGCGGGGAGGAAAGAAACTAGGGATGCGCCGATCGGCACAAAAATTGCACTTTCAGCAAATAACTTTTTTTTAAGGTTGTTTGGTGTACAAAATATTCATTATCTGTGCCTATATCTTGCCCATAACAAGGTTTCAGATCATTCAAATGCAGTTTATACCTTTAATAAATGTAATCTCCTCTTTACAAGCCCTTACGATTCCTGATGAGGACATCATTTTACCATTTGATATTAATGCAGTCATGTTATTTAGCTGGCTGGCCAATTGTGGGTTTAGCCTATTTAACTTCCAATCTTTTTCAGAAGTAGCAGACACTTACATGATCAAACGAGAATGTAACATTTCCATCAATACCATTACTTACTCAAGAATTTCATTATATTCTATGGTTTCCTCCAAGTTCTGAAGATTAGGATTGGCACTGCGGATTGCCCTCATATATGCCTTTAGCAGCTGGATATCCCGTTTCTTTTAGAAGGTAAAAAGATATATAAAATACCAAGAAATTAAAAAGAAAAAAAACACAAGCAAACACCAAAACAAAAAACAGAGCTGTAGTTCACATTCCTGTTAACTATGAGGCTCTGATATTTAAAAGCAAGACCAGCAAAGTGCAGCACAATATAAACTATATACAAATAAATCAAATATCACAAAACACACCATGTCCCAGTGAAAACATAAAAAAAAAATGTAAATGCAAAAGGCTTATAAAAACTTGTGTACATCCAACTTGATTAGCTAAACCACCAAGATACATCACAGGCAACTAGAAGGGAACTCTGCCTCTGTACGCCACTTCTTAAACTCAAAATCTGGGCACCATAATTTCCACAGCACAAGATGGCTTTGAAGGTGTTTACCACGGCTGTGTAACAATATAATGTCAGAGCTCGTCATACAGCCTTAAAACTGTTTTTTTCCTTTCATTGAATACAGCTCACAAGTCTCCCGCTGACATCAGTGTATTTTGTGCATGGGCAAGGGCAGATGGGGAAGAAGACAATACCAAAACCAGTGTCTGTGAAACCTGGAGTGCCAATGTTAGCAGGGGGTAGAAAGTACAGTGGGAGCTGGAATACCCAGGGGAACACTTACCTGTAGAAATAACTTTCTTGGAGTACAGTTTAGGACACAAGATCAATGTCTATATCATGAGCAATAATAAGGCTTGACAAATTTGCTTTAAATCTAGGAGCCAACTAAAAAAGTTAGCAGCCAGTTTTTGTTTTTTTAAACTCGCAAAGCTTTATTTTGAATGACTGTTGTCATTTTTTTTTACAGTTTTAATTGGCACACGCAGGGCGATGCCTGAAGTGTAGCGCAATCGTCCTTTTTGTACGTAGGTGCACCTGACTTGCACTTCTGTTAGTAAGCACGTGTTTGCGGGGAGCCTTTACATTTTTTTAAAATGTATGTTTTTTGTTTTTTTTTACTTCTTTGCCATCACCTATGTGAGGTCACCTTAAAGAGAACCTGTAACCTCCAATGTGCTATTAGACCACCAGTGGTCACTTTTCCACTTCAATAGTTTTAGCTTGGGAATGACAACTGCCTGCGGAGGCAGCTGAATGTAAACACAGCAGGCAGTGGCTGGGAAAGTTCTCCTTCAGGTCCGCTCCTCTGCTGATAAACAGCAGGCAGTGGGCGGGTGCAATAGCCAGCCTGCTATTGGCTACTGCAAAAAAATTTTTTACAAATCGCCAATAGCAGGCGAAAAAATGACTCCAGTGATAGAGTACTAGTTTGTATTGAGATTGTAGTCCATCACGGGAGCAAGCTTGGAGCGGTGACTACTTTACAACACAGCTATAGAAGAATAAAACAAATCCCAGCAATAATACATTATACATATAGTGTATAATGTATTGCTGGGATCTGTATTCCTCTATAGCTGAAAACAGAAAATGTTTATTTCAGTTTTTTTAAATATTTTAACCACTTAAAGTCCATAGTGTTTCACCCCCTTCCTGGCCAGGCCATTTTTCAGTATTCAGTGCTGCGGTACTTTATCTATTTTTTATAAAAACTTTCAATATTTTTATTTTTTACATTACTTTTAGAGGCTTTGGGGAAATATTGGGGGTCTAAAAACAGACCCCTGATATTTCCCTTTTAAAATAGAAAAAGAGATTGAGAACACATAGTCCTCAATCTCTTTCTGTGTCCCCTGTTATCAATAAACAGGAATCCTCTATACCGAGTGTTCCTGTCCATTGATAACATGACAGAGTAGGTTTACTATAACCACAACTATGAATGAACAGGAGGTGATGTAGATCACTCCCATTCATAATTGAGGATACAGTAACCATATCATGTCCTCAATTATGTAAAAACACTCAGCGATCACTGAGTGTTTGTGCTCACTCTCCTCTCTGGCACGCTGTCACAAGAGGCTGAGCGAGCGGAGCTGGGAGGAGAGCCCAGCCTCCTGTGACAGCGCGGGCTGTCTCCGCCCCCACACCGCTCTGCCGGACTGTGATAGGCGGCTGAGCGGTGTGGGAGAGACAGCCAGCCAAGGAGAGAGGTGTGAGCGGCCGGTGACACTTTCTTTCCTCCCCACTGGGACACAGCAGCGCCCATCGGGGAGGAAAGAAATCTGGGATGCGCCGATCAGCAGGAAAATGGCACTTTCGGCATTTAGCCAAAAGTGCAAATTTTCGGCCGATATGTTTCGGCGGCCGATATATCGGTGTATCCTAGCCTCCTGTGACAGCGCGGCCCATCTCCGCCCACACACCGCTCTGCGATAGGAGGCTGAGCGGTGTGGGAGGAGACGACGGCCGCTCACAGCGCTCGGCAGACTGTCACACTTTCTCTTCACCCCGCTGGTACACAGAGCAGCGCCCAGCGGGGAGGAAAGAAAGCAGGGGTGCGCCGATGTATCGGCAGGAAATGGCACTTTCGGTATTATGCCAAAAAGTGCAATTTTCGGCAGATATGTTTCGGCAGCCGATATAGCGGTGCATCCCTATTTAATACCATAAATAATAATAACAGGTTAAAAAGATGGTAACTCCAGGAGACAATCTGTTGATTTAGTCAACTAAAACAATTCGCATGACAAATATAGTTGCCCACCAGTGACAGAACGCTCTAAAATACCTCCTGGTGAATAGGCTATTCCCCAGGATCAAAACACTGATTGAGAAAGTCTACCGCCCAGGTTTTCATAACTGCAGTGTGTAAGGCGGACAGGGACGGAACATGAAGTTCTTCTGACTGAATCTTGATCGGGTGACTCGGTAGTCCAGAGATGGAGGGGCAACCTGATTGTCTCAAGCTCCAGAAAGTGATCAGAGGCCAAGCTTCCCCTGATGACCGAGTCTCTTGTAAGGAGTGGGTATCTAGTTGGCATTCATTGTGAGTATTTTCCCCAACACCAGTGCTGGATCAGAGATTGACCATTCCAGGGCAATTTGGTTTTGCTGGAATGGATGCACAGAATGGGTCTGCTGGGTGTTCTTGTTTTGAGTGAAACTGGGAATACAGTACCGCCTCAGGGAGGAGGCCACCATTAACCCTAGAACTTTCATGCAAAAGCAAATTGGGCGAGCAAGTCTTGGATCTCAGGGTCTGCACATGGAAATAGGGATGTATAAGCATCCTAATGTCCATGGAGGCCAGAAAATCACCGGCTGAACAAAAGCAAATGACAGGGCCGGCAATGATGGGGCACCCCGTCATTGAGAGGAGGGCTTGATCCCAGACTTAGTGGGTTTTAGTGGTCCAGGTTGTGTAGAGCAACTGCATCCTGTGTTTGTTATTGGACCCTGAGGTAATGCAGAAATAAAAATGAGCTTGGTTTGGACTTTTGGGCAGAATCTTTGCCAGCAGGAGCTTTGGCACGCTTTTTCTGGGGCACAAGGGTACTCGTCCCCATGTGTCTAAGGAGTCGCCAAAGAGGTGTTGCCTTGCAAGGCGCACAAAAGTTCTGCAGACCAAAAACTAGAGCCAAAGGATCCTTCACATATGCACTGATAGGAGGCTCATTCTGGGTACCTGGTGGAACATATCCAATAATTCATCTATACAGTAGAGCAGGGCTATGTGTTTGAATGCTAAAGACTGACAGACATGGTTAGGACAACAAAGCTGCATAGCCAGACCTGTTAGGGAGAACAAAGCCTTAAGGGCGTCTAACCTTTTGTCCACACGGTCCTTGAAGAGCAGGACTGCTGACACTTGTAGTGCCTTCACACACAGGACACCAGGATTGTCATACAAGTGTCAGCAGTCATTGTCCATTATGACAGACCTGTATGTGAGGGCACTAAAAGTGTCAGCAGTCAATGTCCATCAAATGGACAGGGACTGCCGATACTTGTAGTTCCCTCACACACACACAGTCAGTCCCAGATTACACACAGTGGGACTTACCAGAGACGCAGAGACCAGTGGCAGAGGCAAGGAGGAACATGCCGGCAAGGAGAAACCTGCGGCCGAGGGGGGAGGTACAGCCTAGGAGAAATGCATGGCTGAGGAGGGAGGGGTGGGGTCCTCAAGAGGGCAGCCAGCTGAATTGCTGCTCAAAGTTAATTCTGCCTGAGCACGGGCTAGAACAAAAAAAATTAACCCTGCTTGCCATTGTACAAAGCTCGGGACTTAGGGGCTTAATAAAATCTTGTGGTGGGCCGTTTTCGGCCTGCGTGGCCTTGTAGTTGACGTATGTGGCCTAGATTCTGATCCTGAGCTGTTTGATTAAACTGTTATTTCACATCTTAATCTATGGAATAGTGCCCAGAGTTGGGTTTTAAAAGGTGGTCATATTTACAGGGTTTAGTGAGGACATCAGTTAAAAACCACATTAAAAACAAAAACAGTGAAACACCTCTTTACACTATAAACAATGCTAACAAGCAATCAAACAATGATCTACCTGTTCCCCCATGGTGGAATTAAAGTAGAACTAAACGTTCATCAAACAAAAAAAAGAAACAAAAAATCCTATGCAGTATCCCCAGATAATGCTTATGGCTCTTTCTGCTTCTTTGTCAATGATTCAAGAGTGACCCTTTAAGCTTTTGGCCAAAAAATGATTTTCCTGCATTTCCTCTTCAATGGAGTCCATGCTTCCACCTTCGCCCGAATCCTCGTTGCCACCTTTTGCATCTCCTCTGCGGGCTTAAGATTACAGTGTGACAAACTGACGTGACCTTGTCACATGTTACTCTTATAGAAACTCATGCATCAAATCACGCAGTACTCATCAATCCCCAGTTCCACCGAATCCTGCAAAGGACACATGGGAACGCACCAAACAATGGCTGGTTCTGCCCAGCACTCTGCAGCATGACAGCAAACGTCACACTTCCGCCAGTATATTTATGCTATTGCTAAACCTGTATTTTTTATTACCTCTACAGCAGCCCAGCATGTGCAGCACTTTGAGATTACCCTCAACCCTGTCTATGCACATATGTCACACCCACTGTGGTGGGAAACACAGGTTTTTCGAGTCATCTCTGGTGCTCCCGGATAGCAATGGGAAGCTCCAGATAACCCTGCCCTCCGCACTAGTCAGACATCGGAGGCAGAGATGAGGGGGGAGTTTCAGAATTGTATAACTATAGGAGGGTGAGAAAAATTTGCATGATGAAATTAAATTATATTGCAAAATGTAGAGCTGTTTTTCATGAATAGGAAACCTAATCCCGATATATATATATTTTTTAATTAGGCGTTTAAAGAGATTGCATAGATGGTTTTATATACAAAAAAAAAACAAAACTTAAAAAGATAAAAAGGCATAAATGTAATACCTGTTCAGAAAGCTGATGCTTGTTTTCAGCTGATGCCTTTTCTAGTTCCCCTATACGGGTTTGTTGCTGCTGAACCACAGAACGGAGGTGCTTTATGCAGTTGTGGTTTGGTAATTCATCTTTGGGCATTTCTAGGCTAGTGAGCAATAAGATAAATAATACAAGTAAACCTAAACAGACTTGAATAATCATTGCAATAAACTGTGTATTTCATAAAACTAATTGTAATACTCCATGCTGTATATTAGGGATGCACTGATACCGAGTATTTGGGAGAGTACTCGTACTCGCCCAAAATGCTCCCGATACCAGAACTTCCATTACCCGCCCCCTGGCTTCCTGATTGGCCAAAAAGCCGACTAGGTTTCCTCGTCACCTGGTGATGAGGGAGCATGAAGCCGGCTTCCCGGCCAATCAGGAAGCCGGACGGCGTGTAATGACTCACTGCCTGGTTTCCTGATTGGTTGGAAAACTGGCCAAACAAGAAGCTGGGTGGTGAGTCATAACCTGCCCCCAGGCTTCCCGATTTGCCAGAAAGCCAAGTTTACCCTATTCCCTAGTGCTTGCCCTGTGGAAGGCAAGCACAGGCATATGTAAACACACAACCACTCTAAGAAGGACATAACAGCTACTTACCCACATCCCTGCTCACATGTTACTGGTCGCTTTGGATTATGTTCACAGTCGTTAAGATGAGACATGAGGTTATCAAGTCGCACAATTGTGGTACAGCCAAAAACCGCGTTGTCACATGTAATCTGTAACTTGGAAAGCATATTCCGCATGATGCGGGGGACTGGACGGAGATGGGCTACTGTTACAACACTGCGGTCCACAGGACAGGTCTGCTGCTGGGAGAACCACTGTGTGATGCAGGCATTGCAAAAGGCGTGTTCACAATGAGGAGCCTATAGGTTTAAGTGGAGAAAACAAAGAACACAGTATATTATTATTATTATTACTACTACATAGTATTTCTATAGCGCCAACAGTTCTGCGCAGCGCTTTACAATGCGCAGCGCTTTACAATGTAACATTACAAGTGCATAGATTGTACCTGATCATAAAACAAATGTATTCACAAAAATGTTTCAGTAAATGTTAGCTATAGCTTATGCGTGACGCATTGTGAAATGGGAATAGATGGTGGGCATTACCTCATGGCAAAAGTCATATAACAGATAATGTTATAAAGTGCTTCATTCATATTTTCATTTTCCCTAGGTCAGGGCTGGACAAATCCCAGGAGCTAGATATGATTCCCGCCAAGTTGACCCATCTACACAATATTTTCTTCTTGCATGCTTGCTTTTACAAAGACATATTGTACGGGATACCAGGGGCTTGCTTGTGTAACCAATTCCCAACTATGGCACTATGCCTCCTACCACCCCGATTTAAGAAGCTTTATGGGGCACATCCCTTGTGCGCCTTCCCTGTCCTTAATGAAAGTTGAAGGGGTAAACAATTGCTTGTCCTCTCTTGCACCCGATGGCTTGCATTCATATTGGTATTGTATCATAAACAAAGTCCAGTACTTTACCTACACTGCTGTATGCAAATCAAAATAATACATTTGCTTTTAATTTAGAAGAAAATTAAAAAAGGAAAAAGAACAAAATAAAACCCACCAACACCCTCCACAGAAAAAAAAACCCCACACAAACCCACACACTACATTTGACTAGTTACATGGCCATGTGTGACACAGTTTTTCTTACAGTCAATTTGTATTGCATTCTGCAAAGTAGCAATTTTACTCACAGTGTGGAAAACTACACCTTCCAAACAGCAGTCTAATGTCAGCAGACTGACTTCACTATACTGGTTGTAATGGGTCTCCGTACTACACATTAGCAGCGCTTACCAATTTACTAAGTGCACAAAAACGTTCACATTCTTCAATAAAAATATAACTGCGTCTGTTTCAGATTTGATTTTAGGTGGAACGATGCATTGGGGAGAATAAAAAAAAAAAAAAAGCCCCCAGAAAAACAAACTCCAAAACTGGCAGCCATTTCCTGCCAGCAAGGAAAAGACAAGTAAACACTTCAAACGTCACCAATTTTCCTTGCAAAATATTTCTAAACATAGCCACATACTAAAAATAGACCAAGACGCAGAAGCCTTGATTTGCTAGATTCCATCGCCACTTGAAACCCACGCAAGAAATATTTTCATTGATTACGTTATACTGCCCAATCTAATACAATAATACAACCTAGCATCCCACTCTCTATTTTTCCATTTATGTTTCAGAATTTAAAAAATTAAATTACAAAAGAATGGAAACAATTTTTCCAATTTGATTCATTTTACAGGAGTAGGCATAAAAATATGAGAAATATGTAGGCAGCCATTGCGAACCTTTTGAAAATATTTGTCTGACCATCTCTGGCTTGAATACCTCGAATCACTAACCACAAGGCAGCAAGTGAAGTCAGAAAACTCCTGATCTGCATAAACGCTCCAGGGCAGCAACTCAGACATCAGCGAAGCTGCAAATCAGCAGGTCTGACAGGCAACTTTTTCTTCAGGAGAAAATCAGCAATTGCAGCCTTTCCAATTCTCCTCTCACAGGTTGAGAATGTATATTAACTGCTTTCCTACCGGCCACTGTACATAATGGCCAGTAGGGGCAGCCATTGATCCAGGAGGCAGGCTGATTGGTCATCACAACAATCTCATGGCAATGTTTACATTGTTAAGCCCTTCCCTTCCTCTTACAACATAGGCAGGAGAAAGTGAAGGCACTAAAAGGAATGAATGAATCATTTATTAGATCATGGTTAAAACAAGCTGCTAGGAAAAAAACAAAAAAAAAAAAAAAAAAATGATGATAGGTTTTTAACCCTTTTTTCTTTCCTGTATGTCGGCTCCATTCTATCTCTGCTCCGACCTATATACTAACCCCTTAACCTGCACAGTACCCCATCATCACCATCCTCCCACTGTATGTGACCTGTACATTAACCCCTTTTCTTCCTTCTCCCTCTGTGTATGACTCCATGTTTTAATCCCCTCAATACAGTCATTTTTCTTCATTTAAAAAAAAAAAACAAAACTGAAAAACATTGAGTTCCCTGGGTAATTTTTTTGCCTTTTTTTGGTTTTAAAACATTATTAATTTTAATAATGTCAAACAGTGCAAGCATCTAGACATCCGCATAATTTATAGGCAGCAAACAGGCAAAAATGAGCAAGCGATAATAAAGATAATGCTCTACGTGATGCTTTTTTTTTTTTTTGATAGCAAGGGGGTTGTTTTTTTTCCCCAAATGTGTTGGGCTTTTTTCCTTTATAAAGTAAAACAACAACAAAAAAACCTGTTAAATGCCACCAAAAGAAAGCTCTGTCTCAAAAAAAAAAAAAATTATATAAAAATTAAATTAAGGTACAGTGCTGAATGACTGAGTAAATCACAGCAAAAAAGCTGAAAAGATGGTCTAGTAATGAAAGGTGTTTAACATGTCAGTTTAACTTAACTGGTTAAAATGGAGCCTGACAGAATAGGGACCTGGCACTGCTGTACTTGTTTTCCAGGCGCAGACTTCTGGGCTGCCATCTTTATCCTTGGAGAGTCATTGATCAGGTGCATGTTATGTGCTGGAACATAAGGCCTGCACATGTGTTTGGGGTCAAGAACACATTAAAGCGACACTAATTTCAGGAGTTAAATCTTTAAAATCCAGTCAAGTACCTTAACTATTAAACAATAAAAAGGGAATTATCAAAACTGGAGCAGACAAAATCTCGAGCAGTTGCCCATTGTAACCAGTTTCTATCTTCCGTTTGTTCAGTTAAGATTTAGGTCTCGTTCACACCTAGGCGTATTGCATATGCGCGTCTGTCGCTTTACCGCGGTAAAAAAGTCGCACGACAAATGCGCGTTTCCGAAGGCTACTTGGCTGTATCCCAATGGAAATGGCCAAAAAAAAAAAAAAACGGCCCAAAGTAGTACATGTACCTTTTCAGGCGTGGGCCGTTTTGTAGCGCGTTAGGGACGGGCGGAAATACTCCAAGGTGGGAACGAGACCATTGAATACAATGGGATTTATATTTTTGAGCGTTTTGTAGAGCGTTCATTGAGCGTAGAACGCGCTACAAAACGTTCAGGTGTGAACGAGGGCTAAAAAATGAAAGAGAAGCTAATTGGCTGCTTTGCTTAGCTGCTCCAGTTTTTATAAATTCCCCTCAATGTACCTTATTTGTGTATCACTCAGCTGTAGATCCTCAAATCATCTCTGAATTCATAAAGCACCCACCGCTTCAAGCTCGCTCCTGTGATGGACTACAATCGCAATACAAAGGAGTACACTAAAAAGGTGAGATTGTAATCCATCACGGGAACAAGGTTGGAGCGGTGACTACTTTACAGCACACACAGGGACCATGGGGAACAAAAGCAGACACCCTCCAGAGGGAAGGACAGTATCAATTCAGAGATGATTGGAGGATCTACAGCCAAGGGATACACAAATAAGGTACATTATTGTTGATAGATAGGGTATTTGAATGCATTTCTAAGATTTTACTCCTGAATTTAGTGTCACTTTAAGATATAGAACCCCAAGCAATATGAGTTCAGTATAAGAAGAAAACTAAACTGGGGGAAGGGCACAGCAAGCAGTGGGCACCTGCAATTGGCTGTTGCACCTGCCCACTACCTGCTGTATTTACATTTAGCTGGCCTCAGCAGAATCTTGCCACGGGTAGCTGTCATTTCCTGGCTGAAGCTAGTCTAGTGCCATGTGCTTACAATACAATTATGACATTTTTTTTTTTTTTTAATGATAAAAACAGGTGGTTTTGGCCCGACAAATTCTGTTGCGGGGCAGGTGCGTTGCAGTGCCATTCATTTCAATGGCACCCCAAACGCGCCTCCCACCCGCACTGGAACGCATGGTACGCGATAACTTCAATAAATTGTTTTTGTTTTCACAGCAAGTACAAAAAAAAAAAATTTTTTGCTGATCGCACTGGACCAGAGCACGGGCACCAATGTTCCTGTGTTCGGGTAGCGTCAATTGCACTGCGGGTGGGGGGTGTGTGGCTGCTGTGCCATTGACTTCAATGCACCGCCATGCCCCCTCAAGCCGGCCAATTTGCGTTCCAGTGGCTGAATGCTCTGGAACGACCTCAGCAAGAATGTGGAGGACAAGCAATCACACACGCAATCGCGCACTCACACAATCACAAAGAGATCTTAGACCAACAGCTAAAGTTGCCAACAAAAACAAGAATGTTTTCAAAAGGTAAAAAGGCCGAAGGCTAGGGTGCCTAACGCTGCACCTCAGGAAAAGGAAGGTAAACAATGTACAACCCTACCAAAAAACAACCAGTGACCAGTTGGGGGTTCAGGTAGCATATCCAAAACCATTGACATCAAGGAAAGGGAGATCTATAATATTAGGCAATAGATAGAAGGTAAGTTATAGAGAGAGGAGGAGACCTTCAATGTAAAAAACAAATAAGGGTACAGTACCAAATCCCTGTATGGGAGATATACACCCCTATATAAAAAGGGAAGGCTGTGTGAGAATTTATTGCAGCACAAAAGTAGTACAGCATATCAGAGAACAAGGAGGATGAGATGGAGTCCTTCCAACTCACATCAATAGGTACAGAAGTGCGAGTCATAATACAATCGTTCTGCTTATAAATATGAATAATCAATCAGTCTGATCTATAGACGAAAGGGGATCTTTCTTCCAACAGATCCCCTGACACAGTTTATCACCTAGGGGAACTCTACAGTCAGGTAGCACCGTGTTTGTTGATCTTCAAGGAAAGAAGTAACAAGATGGATATTTCCTTGTGAGGAAGGAAAAGTTGCAATCATGAAAAGTACCCTCCACTGCATAAAGGAGGGAATATTAAGATGCAGGCATCAAGAAGCAAGACCTTGAGTCCTGCATGGGAATAATGTGTGCATTAGACCACCAATGCCAGCCAGTGCAAGCAGGCAGACAACAGTGAGTAATAGCTGAAGTATTCAGTTTCCTCCAGAAAAAGAGTATTGCACGCTCCATTAAAGTGCAGCAGGAGGCAGCATTCAGAGACTGGGTCACACCAGAGGCTAGATCGCAAACCTGGAGAGTACTCCAGAGAGAAGAGTACACAAAAGGTCTGCAAAGCAGAGCCCAGTGCCCAAAGGTCACATTCCAGGCTAGTCCCACATCTTTGGTCCAGTGAAGTCAATGTACAGTCTCTAATGCTGAGGAAAGGCAGCTCTAGATAACTGCTGTATAGAGACCGGCTCAAGCAGTATATCAAACATCTTGATAAAAAGGGAAAAGTCAAGTATGTTAATAGCAGATAGTAAAAATAGGGACAGAATTTTTCTCAGTAGGGCCAAGTCAAACACGTCCAACCTCCTGGGGCACTAGAAAACAACTACGGTGTGAAGGAGACGGGGCCATATGGGGGCTGGATTAACATTCTGTTTGCTTGTCATTGTCCAAACCTCCTGGAGGAGGCAGTATAACCCACATCTAAGAATGTCCACATTCATATGCGCCTCAAGGGATAAGGGAATAAGAACTGCACTGAATGCAAACTTGACCGGGTAAGATGGTTCCACAGTCCTACATATGGTCTTAAAAGCATGTCACTGATCAAGCGGACCTTTACAGAGCAGTCTTCCCAAGAACAAACCAAATAAGTATCACTTACTTGAACTGGCTCCTCCAAAACCCCACTGCATATGGGGCAGATAAGATCTTCATCCACATCACCCTGGAAGCGTGTTACATCATACCCCATCGCTCATCACCGACACTAAGCACTGCAAAAAATGAAGCAACATTAGGCTTTACATTTTTAAAAGGAGAAGAAATGTGATTCTATTGTTCACAGTAACCAGATTCTTTCTTTCCATGCATGCACTGGTAATATGGACAGTAGAAATCTAGTTGCTATAGATGCCATGAACACTTCCATTTCACTTGTACATAGTGTCAACCTCCTTTCATTCTAATAATAGTATACATTGAAAAAGTTGCACTCCAGTGGAAATAGAAAATCACAGTGTGTATATCTATATACATACATACATACATACATACATACATACATACATACATACATACATACATACATACATACATACATACATACATACATACATACATACGGCTTGAAAAATTTTAGGGCGCCTCACCAGTCAGTAAAAAATTTCAGTCAGCATGACCGGACTATAGCCTTGCAATATGTTAACATTTTTTTAGGGACACCTAGAGCTTTCTTTTGGTGGTATTTAATAACCAGCGGGGGTATTTTTTAATATATAAAATGAAAAAAGTACCATAAATTTAAAAAAAAAAAAAAAAGTTTTCCCTACGTTATGTTATAAAACATCTATTCTTAACCATCTTTTTGGCAAAATATAAAAGACAGGGTCACATCAGGTAAGTAGACACCAAACATGTCAAGCCTTAAAGCTGCGCACGGCCGCAAAATAACGACCACACTGAAAATTGGCCATAGGCGACGCTTTAAACGCTTTTATAGCTCATCAGTTTAGTGCCATCAGTAATTAACGGCCCTAAAATGATTGCTCTCATTCGACGTTCGCTGCGATATGTAACATGTGCGGCACAATAGGCGCAATCGTTGTTTTCACACGTAGGCGCACCTGATGCATGTCTGCGTGTGTATGGGGGGGGGGGGGGGTGTTGTGGGGTTTTTGTTTTCTTTATGCTTCATTAATTTTTTTTATTACACAACTTTATTGCCATCACATAGGGGGATAAAATGCTACCTATATGATAGACAATTTACATGACAGGTCCTCTTTATGGAGACATCAGGGGTCTCCAAGACCCCTAATGTCACCTAGAACCCTCCAGAGAAGCTGATGAAGCACAGATCTGCTTCACCAGCTTCTGTAGCTGGGAACGACAGCTGAATGCAGGAAGTGATGTAATATACATCACTTCCTGTATTCAGGGACAGAGAGGAGGAGGTCAAAGGGAGATTGTTCCCTTTGATCTCCTGTCACAGAGCAGCCGTGTCGGTCCTGGCCGCACCGGATCTCGGGACTGGCAATGGCAGTGACAGCTGCTGCTAATACAAGCGATCAGGCGTCTCCAGAGACGCCCAATCGCTTGAATGTGAAGCTACTAGTCGGGCTCCGCCATCCTCTCGTCACAGACGAGAGGATATCTCCATCTCTCTCTTTTGGATAGAGTAGGGCAGGATTAGTCACCATTTGCCCTGGTGGCCATGCTCAGCGAGTCAAATTGATGGAAAAATCTTAATTTTACAGTCGTAAACAGAACAAGAGTAAATAAAAAAGGACATCTGTCTCAGAGGGGAATTTAAGAGATTTCCTGATGCATCTCTGGAACGAGAAGTGAGAGGAAATGCCACCTATAGCACTCAAATAAAAAACTAATAAAAACGGACAGGGGTTTTGATTAGGGATGCACAGATATAGCGGCCTAAAATTGTACTTTTGGCTAAATGCCGAAGGTGCCATTTGCCTGCCGATACATCGGCGCATCCCAGGTTTCTTTCCTCGCACTGGGCGCTGCTCTGTGTCCCAGCGGGAAGGAGAGATCACTGAATTAAAAATCTCATCAGCAGAAAACAAGGATTTTTCTTTTTCTTGAAGTCAATTAAGGGACACAGGAATACTGCGACCTTCAGAAAGTTTTGGACAAGTTCACCTTTAACTGTCACGGCTCAGTTTTGTTAGCAAGCAATACACAAGGCTAACAATGCACAAGGTCTGGACCTGTGTCCCTTAATGGACTTCAATAAATTGTTTGTTTTCACAGCAAGTACAAAAATAAAAACATCTTATTGTCCATTGTGGGACACAGGAATTTAAACATAAGGGGCATCCTAAC